CGGTCTTGCGTTTTCCGGGAAGGCCCAGGCGGGAAGCGCGCTGTCCCCTCGCTCGCCGCTTCTCCTTTCTCGGCGCGGCGCTGCCCGGGGGTTTCTGCTCCGCGTGTGCCCGACCAAACCCGTTAAAAACGCTGCCGAGGTGCGGGAAGTGACGGCCCTGCCGGCAAGGGACCCCTCGGCCTGCCCCGGCTGGGCGGTTCCGCAGAAGCGGTTGCTATTTTCCGCAGTGAATCAGCTGCTGAAAAGGCCGGTTAGGGTTAGGCTTAGGTTTAGGCTTAGGGTTAGTTCTGCTCCTTAAGCTTGCTTTAGGCCATCAGTCTGCGCTAGCTGTCTGTTTGCCCTTAGGACAAGAGGTGTACTTTATTTCCTTCTTCTTTTTTATTCGCTTTACTCCTGCTGTCTTTCAGGTGCAAAACGATATTGCTCATTTGCTAGGGATAGCTTTCCACCTCAGCTATCACAAGTGCTGGTCAGCCTCCGGAGCGGCACTGGCTGGGGTTTAGGTGTTAGGCACAACCTGCCTGGACTGGGGACTGTCCGTGGAGGGTGAGATCCTCCCGCTCCCTGTCAGAAAAGAGATGAGAACAGGTCTCAGTCCTGTCTGTGCTGGGGCTGCATCTAGCACGAGAGAGGTGAGCGGGGAAGAGGGCCGCTCCTTCCAGCAGCAGTCACTGTTAGGCTGGAGCAGGTGAATTATCAAACCGCGCACAGAGAGTGTTTTCACCGTCATTTTAAATGGATCTGAGTGGGCTGCTGTGGGAAGGAGTGGGCCTTCATTCTTCCCACAGCTTGCTCCTGACATCTCCCTTGCGCAGCTGCGCAGTGAGCGGGGTCTAGGAGCTGACCTCTGAAAATTGCCCAAACTCTCCCTTTCCCCTCTCTCTCCTTCCCCAGGGAGCGAAAGGGACGGGGAAGGCACAGCTGCGGGGAGGCAGGTCTGCCCTTCTCGGTGCCAGACGGGCTGCGTGCCGTGCTAAAGGGAATGCACAGCTGCAGCCTCAGACTGTGGTTTCTCCCGTCAGTCTTTCTGCAACCACGCTCCCCTGAACAGCTTCTCCTCTCCTTATTTTTGCTACCGCACTGCTGCCTTAGTTCTGCTGACGCTGCTCCTTTTGTGGGGCTGTGCGATCAGGAGTACAATTCATGCTAAAACCAAAACATTAAAAAACCGGAGATGATTGTCTTTCTGTAGAACCATGTCCTGGATTCAGAAGTGATCAAACAAAATGCTTTGAAGACGTCTTTAAAAAAAGGTCTTTTTCCCCTAGTCTTTGCACATCACTTTGCACTGTACTTGGTAAGAGAACACTGGAAGGATTCTGTGTTTTGTTTTAGTTAGTACGGTGCCTGATACAATCTTCTGGACAAGTTAAACTTATTTTTGTAAGGGTGGCATCTCTCTTATCACGGCATGTCTTCACTCTCCTTTTCCCCTTGGACGGCAGATGTGCTGCAGTCGTCCTTGCTGTTGTCTCAGAGCCCTGTGTTAGCCCATGTTCCGCTGTATGTTCCTGGTTAAGCCAAGGAAATTCTTTTCAAACTTCTCTTTTGGTTTCATCAGTGTTTTTTAGCGTAGATAAATCACTATACTGAGCCCTGGAAGGAGACAACTGAATTCAAAGACAAGCAATTTGTAGATCCCCCTGTGTGGTGACGTATGCGTGGGTGAAAGGACGGCGCCGTATCCTGCAGTTTCACTTCACCTCTGGTTCTGCAGATGAGGTTTTACAGTGAATAAGAGTGTTTCGGCTCCATCATGAGTTTGTGTACCAAAACCACAATTTTTAAAAATAGAACACACAAAAAAAATCCCTCGTTTATATTTAGGGTCAACTTTTTATGCAGAAAAGATTTGAGGTGGTTCCTTCTAGTTCTGTTTTCTCTTTCCGGTTAACTCAATGATGTGGAGTACATGGGAAGGACTCCCCCCCCCCCACCCCATTTTCTGTTTCTCTGAAAGCTGGTTTGTTGAAGTATGGAATTTTGATGATTTCTTCATAATGTTACGTGGTTTCTGACTGCTGTGTGCGTACAGTTGAAAGGATTGTGTTATACCTGGGGAGTTGCTTGAGCTATTTTCAGTCACCTGTGGGTAGAAGCTGCCGCTTCGGTAGACGGCTGCTGTGCCATTGTTGCTGTCAGCTGGAGCGAAATACTGATTTAATTGATAGTTATAAAAGCCTTAGGCTCTCAACACTAAATAAGTTCTAAAATTTCAGTATTGGATTAAAAGATCAAACAGTGTAGATATACTCTAAATTGCCTAGGCAGCAAAAAATCCAGAGTATAGAATTAGTGGATATCAATACATGCATAGAATTAATCTGAAGGCTCAAACCAAATAGTGCTGGTGACTCAGATCGATTTTACTCCCTCAGCAGCACTGGGAAAGGGCTGCCTGAAGAGTGCCTCATCAATCCATAAACCTAACGCTCGGCCACGTAGAGTGAGGATGCAGTTTAACTTGCAGTTTTCATACTCTTTGCCAGAAAATGGCTTCTTGGAATCATGTTTCTGCAAAGTGGCTTTTCGGCCACTGTACTGTCTTTTGGAAGTATAATTGGCCAGGATTGACCAATGGAATAATAAGGAAAATATTTATCTCCTCTTGCTGATTAATTGTTATCATAAAATGCATAAAATTTGCCACTGTTGCCTCAGCGGGAATAATTCCAGAGAATGTAATTTGTAATCTGCGGGGCTGGGTTATAGCCCTGACTTTGTTATTGCTCTGCAAGCCGTGCGTTTTGTTGTTTTTAAAAAAAAGTATTTTTGGATGCTAGTCTGAATTCACGTAGCTCGGTCTTCCTTGCTCTGTTTGCCGTGCTCACTTGGCGGTAACGTAGCAGTGGGTCTCTGCTCCCAGTATGTGGCCTGTGCCTTGAGACGTGAGTTGAGCAAAGATGCGCAAAGGTCCTGCTCAGGTTCTGTAAAGATTCACTAGAATGTGCTTGAAAAACAGTATTTCTTGTATTTCTTTTCTGCTTTGATTTTTTTTTTTTTTTTTTTTTTTTTTTTTTTTTTTTTTTTTTTTTTTTTTTTTTTTTTTTTTTTTTTTTTTTTTTTTTTTTTTTTTTTTTTTTTTTTTTTTTTTTTTTTTTTTTTTTTTTTTTTTTTTTAAACATCTTCTATGGAATATTTTCATTGTTTTTAGCAGCCTGTGTTGGTAATCTATATAGCTTCTGGGTGTCAAGTCTGAGCCTGGTCCACATGATCTGTTGAAAAATGTCATCCTAGGAATTCTTGCACAAATTGACTCAGATTTCTGTTGCGATGAATAGTCAGTGACAAACCAGTGGATTTTCCAGGAAACGCAACTGCAAACTGTTTGGCTTCTGTGTAAGGGCGTTCGGAAACCTTGTGAAGATCCAGTGTTTTATCATGAAGCAAATGAGTGAAATCATCTTCCTGGAATCTGTGGTCATTTGAGCTTTGGATTGTGGTAAAACCTAAAAGTTCCTCGTAACAAATTCTGGTAAAGGTCATAATCAAGTTTCTTCTTGGTATGTGGTGGTGGCAGAATGCATCAGGATGGGTCACAAGATGGTGGCTGCCTGTTGGCCCGAGGGACCTGGCATTCCTCTGGGATGAGACCAGCCGCCTCGGTTCTGTCCTGACAGCAAGTCTGACTCCTGCGAGTAGGGTTTACAGACCAGAATGTTTTCTGTCAGATTTGGGGATGTAGTTCAGTCCCTTGCTCGTTGATTCCTGGATCTCATGGGAGTTGCTGCTGCTAATTGTGCTGAAATGTGGTTTTGTCATGTGGACAAACTCCTACCAGGGGTTATTGTATGACTTGATGAATTTGCATGCTAAGTCTCCAGAGAAGAAAAGATGCCATTTGCTTCTTGTCACCCCCTGAAGCATGACTATTAGCAGTAAGTTGGTTTCTTCCCTAAGCGACTTCAAAGGAATTAAATTTGTTCTGAAATTTCTTTTTAAAGAATGAACTTCCTGCTGTTTCCCTTACAGTTACTCTGAAGCTTGTAAGAGAAGTCTTGACCTTCCTTTAGTACTTGTGCAGAAAGCAAGTGGCATCGTTGTAGAGGGCTACCTAATGTTTCGCAGTTGTGCTTCTTGGCTCATACTTGTTGAAACTTGTTGAATCGATTCTTTGGTACGTCGTTCTGGTGCTATGACTTTGTTGCTTTTGCTTGTACTTGCACTCAGGCGCTCTGCGTGCTGTAGATCTTTTTTTGGAGAAGTTTGAGGGGTTGAAGCATTTTTCTGTTTTGTTAAGGAACTTTTAGAGTAGCATGATTTTTAAAATGTCTTTACCTGAAATAGAAACAACTAATCTTTAGCCCAGCTGAGAACTAAGCTAGACATGAAAGTGACTGTTGGCCATGGCAAAGCTGACGCGTGTGTGATAAAGACAATTCAGAAGTGACTGATTACAGGTATAGCTGGTACCACAGCAGCACCACCAGACGTCTGATTTGTGGGTGTTTGGGAGAGTTCACATCCTCAGTTTCTTCAGCTTCCAGCCTGTTTCCTCTCCTGTGTTCTTGTTCTGAAGAAAGTCTTGTTTTCTCTCATCTCCCCTGCCGGTTAGGGGAAGGAGCTGATGATGTCAAGATCTGTTCTCCTACCTTTTTCTTGTGTTCTTCTATTTCTAGATTTGGCTTTGGTGGGATTATGGAAAGGGAAAGGCATTCTTGCCATTGTGGATCCTTACAATGTGTTGGCCCTGGTTGCAGCTCTTTCTTGACCTACTTGGAGGTTGTTTGTGGGAAGCAAAGGCTCCATTATATAGAATTTCTCCATCTTTCTTTTCACAGATCATCATGGCTGCTTCTAGCTCCGTTGCTCACCCCTCCTGTTCCTCTGATCACAGCCCCGCCTTGTTCCCTTTGTCCAGAAGGAGCACACAGGTTCCAGTGGATCAGGAATCTGGTTCCAGAGTTTGGGATCTCCAGCTCGCATGTCAAGGTGCTGTCATCCCCAGCTGAATTCTATGAACTCTTGAAGGTGAGTTGCGGGTTCCAAGTTGTGGGAATGGTTTTTGGGGGCTGGGAGCTGCAGTGGTTATGAAGAATCATAGGCAAGTTGTTAGGAAGGAGCACCTGCAGGTTGCTAGTCCAGCCTTCTACTTGAAACAGGATTGTTGTCAATGCTAGATCAGGTCAGGCAGGCTCTGTCTAGCTGAGTCTTGAAAATGGCTGAGGGAGGTTCTGCCTCTGGGTAAGCAGTTCCAGTGCTGCGCCATCTTAGTAGTTCACAGGCTTTCTTCTGGTGCCAGACCTGAACTTTCCAAAGCTGTTTGTGGCTCCTGCTCAGCTGTAACTACCAAGAAGAGTTTGGCTCCGTCATCTTTGTAACTACTCTAAAATTAATTGCAGGCTGCTGTTAGATCACCTCCCAGCCTCCTCTTTGCAATACAAAACAAGCACAGCTCCCTCAGTCCCTCCCAAAGGTCTCTTAGGTCATTACACTGTGAATCCTGTAATACTGCATCTCTTAGGTAACTAGTAGGGCTGAGGTGAGAATTTCTTTGTTTAGCTCAGTTGCTTGAGTCTTTTCACAATGCGTATTTAAAGCAAGTTCCAGTACTTCTGAAACATGATCTTGGACCGCCATGGTAAGCTGTTGGAGAAGGCGGCTTGGGTGGGCCACGAGGGCAGCAGCTACCACCCCCTGCGGCGTTGGTGGTGAGCACAGGGGAAAGGAAGAGAGCTCCGTAAACAAAGGTTTCTAGGTTCTAGCTAGTTCACAGGATGGGATACAAAGGATTAAAGCAGTTGCAGAATGAAGGCTGGGATTGCCAGTACTGATACAATCCCAATGTTGCAGCTACTGTGTGGTAACTGCTCTTGTATGTAATAGTTTTAGCTGCAGGGAATGTGTTCCTCAGTTTTCCAGAAAGCATTGATCTCTTCCTTGATTTTTGGATGCAGCAATGGTGCTGATGTTGCTTTGTAAAGACCTGTGTGTTTTACATCTTTGCTATCAGCGTGTTATCCTTGTGCCTTTCCTTCTACAAGGCAAGGGAGACAATGCTATGATTTGGCTAAAGTGATCCTCCTCGGGGGAACCACAGCTCTTCTGTGGTCTGGATCATTAGCTCCTAGTGATCACAAAGACTGAGGATGAAACTGAACTTATTTTCTGCTACTCCCAGGTGCAGATAAAAACAGCCAAGCAGCGAGTGGTGATGGCTTCACTATACCTGGGAACAGGGCTCCTTGAACAGGAGCTGGTGAGTGTGGAAAGGGTTTGGGAAGGGGAGAAGGTGAATGCAGAAAGAAAATGCCTGCCTTTGCAAAAAGCATCCTGTTCCTGCAGGTGCAAGAGGTGTATGTGAGGTGCAGTTTGTGAGCTTGTAATGTCCTTAAAACTTTCATATAGGGATTCACTTTACGTGTGTTTTCTCCTCTCTTTGAGGGTTTTCTCAGGGTTCCTGGCTGCATTTGTGTGCTTGTACGTGGGGTGGGGGAGGGAGGAATTTGGAACGTAGGCGTATGGAGTTTCTGTTTTAGACCTAGTAGAGAGCCATGGAACTACTGAACTTTTTCACGGGATAATGAGCCTGGATATTCCAGACTGTTAGAGGTTACTGGCATAGTGTTCAAAGGGTTTTTGCAGAACTGTGGGATCATGGCTGATTTTTTTTTCCTGGCATTTCTCTTGAACATGATTAAAGTTGTACGTATGTAGTGCTATGTTTTGTCCTCCAAGTACAGTATGCAGATGCAGTATTAGCTCTCTGTATTTAAGACAGAGGTCAGTTTTGCTTCATGTTGTTTACCTTTTCTGTTTCCTGTCCTTCCCTCTAGAAACAAAAGCGTTACCCAAGACCTTTAGGGAGAAGCCTGACCTTGGCCAGTTTTTTATGTTAGAATGCAAATTCCACAGCAGGGTAAAGGTGGACAGAGTCCTGCACAGGGTTTTGTGCCTGGCTTTGTCTGGGCTTGTACACAAGATTTGAATTTGCATGTGACAAACAGCCTTGTAGTTAAGGAATAAAACTGCCTCTGCATCATTTGTGAACTCCCACCAAGGTTTCTCTTTGGTAATGCAAATCTGTGATTTAGGAATGATGTTGGGACTTTCTGCTAATATTAATTGCTCTTCAGAGGCTTGAAGAATATGCGCATGTAAAATTGATGCCCTTTCATGTGTTGCTTTAGGCTGATAGAGTAGGATGCCGGTCTGACAGATGCAGAGTCTAAACTAGCAGTGTTTTGCATGAGTAGGAAATGCTCATTGGGAGCATTATGAAGCATATGAAGGGAAAAACCCTTCATACTAGGGTGTGGAAGCTTTCATGGCCACTGGCCTCCTGGTTGCTGAACACTTTCCTTATAAAGCTTTATTTGCTTTCTGTAATGAGTAGAGAAATCTCTCTCTGCAGGTGGATTGCTTAGAAGAAACACTGGAGAAGTCGCTGCAAGCAAAAGGATCGTCTAACCTCAGAGTTTCCATTCTTCTTGACTACACCAGGGGATCTCGGGGTAGATATTTCCACGCTTTGCTTTCTTCAAGGGCTTATTTTACAGTTAGGCTAGATAAACTGTTTTTTTTCAGAGAGAGGCTGTCTTGACCAATTGGACCTACTTGCTTAAATCATTTACCTTTCAAAACTGGCCTTTTGTATACCAGTAACTACTTACTCCCAGAAAATCTTCAAGCTGAACAGCTTTTCTTCCGAAAATAGGTGGTAGGAGCGAGAAGGGCCAAACTCTGCTCTGTGCAACTTGTGCTTTCTTGCTTAGTTCACTTGTCAGTGCATTTGCCCTTATCCATCATGCTCTCTTATATTTTCATTTTTAAAGGAAAGTGGGAATTGTTGGAATTAGCAGTACACTTAATCAGAAACCTTTGTGGTGACTCTTTGTAGCATGTGTTAACTAATGCTGGGTGTGGCTTGATTAAGAAGCTTGAATGGTGTCAGACCTGCTCAGTGACTGTTTCCAAGGCTCATTCATCAATGAACTTACAGTTCTGGATGTCGATTTCAATATTGACATAGTGCAAATGAAAAGTGATTTAAAAAAAAAGAAAGAAAAAAGGAAAACATGTTAAGTGCCAGCAGATGAGATGGGTGCTTATTCTGTAATCAGCTTCTAGCTGAGGAGCTGTGGTGCCATGCCGTGATATATCCCCTGTCTGGTGTGATCCTGCGTGTGAAACTTCCCTTGTCTCCCAGGTAGGAAGAATTCTCGAACAATGCTAATTCCATTGCTGCAGCGATTTCCCGAGCAAGTCCGTGTGTCCCTCTTCCACACCCCAAACCTGCGTGGACTTCTCAGGCTCCTGATTCCAGAGCGTTTTAATGAGACCATTGGACTGCAGCACATCAAGGTCTATCTCTTTGATGATAATGTGATCCTGAGCGGGTGAGTCCTGCCTCTTCAGGCCCTTATATGGTTCATTTAGCTGAGGTTTTGAGGCAAGGTATGCATGCTACCAATGTTGTCTGAACTTCATTATTTGCATCTGGTCTTTCCGCAGTGATCGTATCAATGCTCTTCTGAGATGGAAGAGCAGCCACAGCTCTTCCACATGAGATTCTCATATGAAAGAGAGAGTCTTTCTCAAAAGGAAAAAAAGAAAGATTTCTCATGATTCAAAAGGAAATAGCCAACTTGTACTTTAGTCCAGTTATATGCAGAGTGAGATCTGTAACCTAGGCTGGGGTGTTCAGGATCATATGCCTATGCTCTGTTCTGGAACTCAACTCTTCTTTTTCTCTCCTAGCGCAAACCTGAGTGATTTGTACTTCACCAATCGTCAGGACCGCTATGTTCTCCTGCAGGACTCTCCTGAGATTGCAGACTTCTTCACGGAGCTAGTGGATGCGATTGGAGATGTGTCTCTGCAATTACAGCGAGATGATACAGTCCAGATGATGGAGGGGATGGTACACCCGTACCAAGGTAGGAGGGAGTTGTCTTATCTGGGTGGATGATACGATCCAGAGGAGAGGAGTGACAGCCAGGGTTTAAGGATGACCTGAACTTCATCCATTTGTGAATTGCTGAGTGTCTGACCATTGTTTACAGCCTGCGGGGTGTCCCAATTCTGTGCCATCCATTACTAAAATCAAGATTGCTAGAGTTTTGAGACTGGATCTATCAGAGTGTTCCTAGCACAGTGGCTATCACCAGGTATTCTGGCAGAGTGTGCAAAGGCTAGAAGTTCTTCTATAACTGTCTCATTGCTTCTTCATAATTCTGCTGCTTATGACCTTGAACAAGAACTTAAATTCCTTGAGAGGTTCTTTCTATTTTTGATATTAATGTCTATAATTCTAGATGTTCTGTGTGTACATATTCTGAAAGTTTCATGAATGTAGTGCTATTTTTGGTAATTAATAATTTGTGGTTGAGTCTATTCTGGCAATCAAATGAATATTGGATTAGGAAGGCCGAGAACAAGCGTTGAAGTGGGCAGAGAAGGGCATCTGTCTGTCAGGTTGACAGCATCATAAGTTTTTGTCCTGGCCTTGTGCGCTGCTGTGTGATATAAGCTTAGCCTGTGGGCAGTAGTTTATTTTGTATGTTCCGGTGATTCTTGGTTACCGTTTTAGCTTTGCCCTGGTCTTTTCATTTCTCAGTGGACTTTTCAAGCTGCTGCTAGTCAAGTTTCTTACCCCTCTTAAAGCTGAATATTTTTCTTCTGTAATGTAGCTTTGCTAACCTTAAAACATTGGTTGTTGAGACTTAGGGAGGAGAAAGTTGTGTGGTCTTTGTGTTAGCTCCTTTTTGTTCTCATATTGGTGTCCAGTCAGTAGTTTTTCCCACTACATAATAGGTGATGCGTAGCTCTGTACCTTTAGGTCTCAAACGCAATCTCTTGTGGTTTTCCTGCAGGAGACAAGATGGCTTACTGTGAGATAGCAAATCGAAGAGTCATGGAGGTGATCAACTCTGCCAGGACACGACAAGAACTCCTTCACGCAAAGACTTTCCACAGCAGCCAGCAAGGCAGCTCCTTGTTATCCCAGCAAGGCTCTCAAGCCTCTGGGGGTCTGAAACCAGAACCCGACACTTGGATCTATCCCTTAATCCAAATGAAACCTTTTGGGATTCAAATAGATGAGATGGTCACAGAGACGCTGCTGACAGAGGCTGAACGGGATGCCAGGATATACCTTACCACTGGCTACTTCAACCTGACACAAGCTTACATGGACCTCATTCTGGGCACTAGGGCTGAGTATCGGATTCTTCTGGCCTCACCGGAGGTGAATGGTTTTTTTGGTGCCAAAGGGGTGGCAGGTGCCATCCCTGCTGCCTATGTTTACATTGAACACCAATTTTACAGTGAGGTCTGCTACCTTCACCAACAGGAGAGGGTCCAGCTGCAGGAGTACTCTAGGGCTGGGTGGACTTTCCATGCCAAAGGTAAGACGTCCGTTTCCCAAGAGGACTTGTTCAGAAGGCATTTGAGACGTGCATATTTGGATTGAGCAACTAGTGAGGGGATGGCTGGGTGCTGAGTCTAGACTTAACCTCCAGAGTACTCATCCAAGGTTCAAACATCTTGCTTGCATAAACCTGGAAGGTTTGGATCACTCAGGGGGACAGCCATGCAAAGTCATGTCTTGCCTGATTCGAATGTAGTCCCAGAGATTATACAGGAATTGTCCCTGTGGTGACAGTAAGGCACTGTCTTGATGTGCAACTTGATGTGAAAGAAAAGGAAGCATCTGGATGTATTTATGATCACAGTAACAGTTGTGATTCAGTTTCTTGTATCCCTCTTGCCGGTTTCAGCAACAAGAAGCGATGACTGTGTCAGGGACCCCAGGGCGGGATCTGCGGCAGAAGCAGGAAGGCAGCTCACTAGTGGTGACTCCCCAGTGGTCCTGGACGCCACGTTCTCTTGGCAGCCGGTCTTTGTGGGGATGATCCAGGTGTTGAGGAATTTGTACCAGATTCTGTTTATGGCTTACAGGAAAGTGCAGCATAGTGAATAAATGCACCCATGTGCCTTCTGGGAGCTGGAGGCAGCTGGAGGGGAAGTTGCTGTGAAATGAATATTGCTTAACAAACGTAGTTAATAACAAAAATAATTAATACTGCCATCATGATCTTCTGCAGAAGACCCCAGATTCTTTCTTGCTTGATCGATTGTGTACAACTTTCACAAGCCCAATGCCACCTTGACCAAAGCATGAATATTTTTCCCTGACTGGTTGTTGCTGGTTGTGTCTCTAAATTTTCCTTCCAGAAAGTGCAGTCCTTGACTCTTATGTTCTCCTACTTTATGCACAGTAGTAAGTATTTGATTGCTCAGTAGTAGATTTTAATAATGCAAATAGCTTAGGAAGTCTACTTAACTGAGGATTTTTTTTTTTTTGAGACATCTGATGCATGTGACACTCTATAAATATCTAGATTCTTACAGTCTTCCCATGTGGAGGTGCACCAGTGGAACACCTCACAAAATGATTTGGTCTCCTGGTCAGACATGGCTCTTGGCCAAGCTAAGACATCTTCGCCGTGTCCCACAGCATCTTCTGTTACCCTAATCTGCAAGTAGAGCTCTGCACCGTGTCACTGTGTCACTTCCTGTGATGGCTCACTGGTCCCCTAGGACAATTCTATTACTGTAAGCAGTACCCAATCTGGCACTAATTAACATGCAAGTTTCCCCAGCTGGCTTTGCAGTGTGCTGAGGGGCATTTCCATTGTTTGCAGCACGTGTCCGGTTTGAATGCTGGAAGGGTGCAGCCCCTGGGGCTCTGGCCTGTTCCTGTCCCGGGGTTGTTCTCCCGTTGTTTTTGTTTAAGGAGACTAGCTGTTAATGATTGTGGGAATGCCTTTATCTGCCCTGCTTCCTGCAGGGTTGTTCAGAAGAAGGTTCAGAGGTGGTAGGGAGAGAAAGCTGCTGAGTAGGCCTTCTCTTGACTAAAGAAAATGCACGAGTGTTACTAGGCTGCCTCTATGTTGAAATTACAAACCTTTCTAACAAGTGTTGTGCCTCTCCTGCAGTGGGATCAGTAACTTTAGTGCAGTAAAACCCTTATCTCAATCCAGGGCAGCCTGAAGGAGGTGCCTGCCTGGCTGGGAAGTCCTGTGTGGTCTGTCTTCCAGGAAGCACGTGCTAAAGCGATCTGTGGTTCACAGGTTCCTCCTCTTGCTGGGCACTGCTGACTCCGAGTGGGATTTTGTGGTTTGGCATGGATTGAGCTCGGAAGGCATGGGTTGTTTTTCCAAGCTACCAAAGTGCACGTGGCAGTCAATCCTTTTTTGGGCCAGCTGTGCCTTCTCGTGGAAGCGCTTTGGGCTCCGTCTGCTGTATGGCATTCTCTTTGAGAGAGGGATACAAGACTCGGAGTTCAGCAGCTCCCGTGCTTGGCAGGAGGGACAGTTGGAGATGTTTGCTGCCGCCTTTCCGTTTCCTCTTCGGAGTGCTGGAAGGATCAGCTTGTAGCTCCCTTCTCTGGCACGCTCTGCCCTTTGGCACATGTTTGATTCACCCGGTTTCCTTCTGCAGGAGTCACGTAGTGTGCGTGAAAGAGAGGACAGGGCAGAAGAGGGAAAAGGAGGAAACCCCGGAGACCGATGAAAGGCAGTTACACATAGAGTCTGGCTCCTGGAAGAGGATGTGAGATCCCTAGCAGCAAATAGTGCCTGTTAATACTTCCTTTTTGGGCTAAGATGAAAGACACCCTTTAGTCTCCTATAGGATCTAGCTCATTTACACCAAACGCTGTGGCTGCTGTTTTGTAAACCGTTCTAGCTCCTCTTAAAACATTTTGTATCCTCATGCGCAACTTCCCGCAGTGTGTATTCCCACCAGGGTTACGACTGGCCTTAGGTTCGCTTGGTGCAAGTGCAGTTGTAGCAGCCCAGTTCAGAGCGCTGCACAGCCATCATGCACGTGTGAGTAGGAAATGCAAACCTTTGCAATGAGAGAGGCTTTCCTGGGTGTAACATCATGAAGCCTACCTGCAGCAGTGCGCATCTACCCGTCTTCTGCTGCATTTCTGGGTGCGGTGTTGTGAGTGACACAGGTACATCCTTTAGGATTAGGGTCCCTTCCATGCAAGTGTCGGGTGACAGAGTGCCAGGCAGGTAGCTGTTTGCTCGGAGATAAACCCGCATTACTGCTATTGAATGGCGGCTGGGAAACTGCGCTTCCCCTTTCTGGAAAGGTGAGTCACTGTTTGAGCAGATCCTGCCAGGTGACCATAAAGCCAGAGGGACCATAAAGGCTTTAGGGCTGCCGCGTGACTGCTTAGAAAGAGCAAGGAAGCGTGTTCCTTGTAGCTGCTGCCCGGACAGAGCTCTGGCCCGCTGTTGGGAGCCTTGTGCTGCGGCTGGGCCGGGGCACCACGCGGCCCCTGGCAGCCGTCCTGTTTGGTGGCAGAACTTGCCGAATCTCTGTGCCACTCGGGTACTTTTTGTGGTTGCTGGAGCCCCCTGTGCTGGCACTCCTGCCATTCTGTGGGTGGGGGTGAGCCTGTGGAGGAGTCAGTCATGCCACTGAGTTATGGGCAGTGCCAGCTCTGAGCCGGGAGGTGTAACTGAAAGTGGCAGCGAAGCTGCTGAGTGTGTGCAATGTGGGGGCGGGGAGGAGGTTACAGGAACCAGCGGTGAATCGGCAGCTTCTTACTCAAGGCATTCTTGGAACTGCTCTGGGGTTGAGTTAGGAAACCTGCTTCTATTTTAAGGACAAGGTGGTTTTTATGCTATGGTTTCTTTGTTGTAGTCTTTGTGTGACTTGCAGTAGGGATAAGCCATCTATCAGGGACCTGCCCAGGGCTGTTCTAAGTGCTTGTGCCTTGCTAAGTGGAGAGCAAACACTTCTTGGGTGCGTTTATACACAGAGAATGGCTGTATAGGCTCTCCTTGGCAATAGTCCAGGCTCTGCTGTGGCATCCCTAGCTGTTCTTTCCTGCTGTGCTACAGTGGTGTGCTTGAGAGTAGTGTGGTGTTTCCATCTGGTTTGTATCACGCTTGCTCTTGTTGTTGCACTGGCAAAGTTGTGTGTGAACTGGAGTGGTGAGTGGACTTGGGAGTCTTGCATCCTGGCCAAAGTTTGATTTCATCTTCGGGTGGCTCCTCAGGAAGTGAGTGGGTGTAATAATTTGCACTGCTTTTACGAGTCTATTTCATGTGAATTCACCTGTCAGAGCAGGGAGATGCCTCTTCATGTCACTGTCTTGTGTAGTCTCGGGAAAGGGGTTAGTCACTGTGCAACTGCGCTGCTTCCAGTTCTGGAACTGACTGGTCCAGGCCTGGCTTGTCTGCCTGGCGCTCTGTTGCTTGGTGTAGGTTTTCCTTTACTGAAAAACTGTTTGTCTTATTTCAGTGTTTCTGAGATATGCCGTGGTGCAAAACGACCTCTAACTTAATGAGTGACTCATTCTGGATTATTTTGGGCCCCTCCGTGCAGTTTATTTACTTTCTTAAGAATGTGTCCCTGGGGCGGCACTGAGCATGCTGCAGCCCCCCTGTTAAGAGCACAAGTTTGGACAATGCAAGCTGTGCAAGGGTACCCCAAGATTCATACGAAGCTTTACAAGACATGCTAGACCATCTGCAAGGAAGCTTGCTTTGTGTCGTGATCTTTTATAGTTACTGTAATCTAACATGTTTAATTAATTTCTTTTAAGCAAAGCGATTGTTTGAGGCTACCCCGGTCATTTCCTTTGTCTGCCCCGCTTCCTTTCTTCTCCGTTTTTCCTGCAGGCCTCTGGCTGTACCTGGCAGGAAGCGATCTTCCCTGCCTGACTCTGATTGGCTCTCCTAATTTCGGATATCGATCAGTTCATCGTGACTTGGAAGCTCAGGTTGCAATAGTGACAGAAAATAAAGCTTTGCAGCAGCAACTCCATCAGGTAAGTGGCTGATTATGGGGAGGTAACATGGATGTTGTGCTTCTCGGTCACATAGGGAATGCTGATGACGCGGTTGCAATAAAAACCTACAGCTACAATAATTCAAAACCTTCTTGAGCATAGGAAGTCTCAAGGAGCTGTCAGTTAAGTGACTATTGATGAGATGCCTGCTGCAAGTGCCTGTTTCTGGGAAATGGAGGCCATAACGGGAAAGAACATGTGTCCCCAGTGAACTCGAGTATCGGGAGTGCTCAGGCAATGGATGCTGAGAGACACCAGCACTCGGAGAGGATCTGCTGGCTCTCTGCTCACTGATCACACAGCACGTTCTTGGGCCTTATCCCTAATATTTGGGCATTGCCAAGGTCACACTGTGCTCTAGGATAATGAGGTCAGGCCCTTTGAATTGCTGATCTTGGACTTCTAGAGGATTTTGCTTCTCAGGCATTTGGGAAATCCTTTGTAGGAATATGAACACCAATCAGTTAGCTTTTGGGTGGCTGCCCGCAGGCTGTGGAGGTGAACAAAGGCAGGGGATCTTAGTGTAGTTTCTACAAGAGGAGGATTTCTGGGCTGGTTGGATTGCCCATGAAGTTATATGACATAATATATTCTTGAAGAATAATATGACATTATATAGTCTTGACACAAACATTTTTCAATGGTTTAATGTTCAGTGACCCAGTTTTGGCAATGGTTTAATGTTCAGTGACCCAGTTTTAGTGTTTTTGGGTTTTTTTTTTTGTTGTTGTTTTTTTTAATTAGGCAGCTTGGACTGCTCAGCACTTTTGCTGCTTCTCTAAATCCTGTCTGGTTCTCCAGCTGTCTTGACTCTGAATTTTCTGCTGGAACTGACAGTGTCCCAAGTAATTTCTCATGTAGTGCTCTGATACAAAGCAAATTGGTTTGGTGCCTCTGTGTGTGACTTAGGGATCTCAAAAATGTATTCTCTTAAGCCAAGTCCTGGCATAAGAAGGCACAGTTGTCTTCGGGATCAATGGGAATTGCCCTATTGCATCAGGGCTCTTCCACAGGATGAGTCAGAGTATATCTAATCAAAAACAATTCTATTACTGGAAGAGTTGCTTGGATATTTCAATTCATATCTTGCCTCTACTTGTTTCTAATGGAAGGGGAGAATCAATGAAAATATGACAAAGGAATTTTCTCAGGCAGTACTGCAGTGATCTAATTTAAAGGGCTTTAAACCATTCCCATTTGCTGGAAGCTGATTTTGAGATTGGCTGTTTGTTTACTGTTCTGTGATCTTTGTTTAGAAGACTTAATACATTACTGGTATGCTGCCATGAAATTACTTTGTCTATGTAACGTTCAGTTCCATTTTAAAAATGTGTGATGAGATTTGAGAAGAAATTTGAGTCGTCTGGGTATCTTTGGGTGCTCCACTGAATGAACTGAACTTCAATTCAGACAACTGGTCTCACTTCCAGTGATCAGACGACCTCACTGTATCAGATGACCATGGTGCAGAATCTTCATAGCAGGGCTGACTATAGCTCTTGGAGCATTTGGGGTTTCTAAAATTAGACTGCTTAGGCACACAGATGTCTCCCTTCTGTTGTTGGTTCATCTTTTTGGTGTTACTTTCCAGTGCTTGATTCCTGTTTCCCTGTTCCACACTGCATTTAAACAGTGCAGAGTATTTTCTGTTGTTTGTGACAGCTTAGCTAATGAAAAAAAGATTATGAACAGACTTACAGTAGATGGTCTGCTCCTTGTTTGCCTGCAAATCTAGAAACCTCTGACTGGCTTTGATAAGAAAACTGCTTCTACCTTTGATCAAACAGCTGCTTTCATGTGCAATGCGAGCATGTATTATCATCATGATGGTTCATTTCCTCCTTCAGCAGTATTGTGTACACACTGGAGAAGCCTAAGTGTTTCTGGTAATTTAGTTGAAATCATGACTGAATATTCATTTGAAAACACAGCGCTTGAGCTGTGTCTAGAAAGAGCTGCGTAAGCCAGTCTCTTGAGATTATGGTAAGGTTTCCTTTTCTGGCAATTACAGTGAGGGATTTAGGATTTTTCTGAAACTGAAGCTTAGCTCTCTTGCAACTGTGGGGTGCAAAAAGGCAAAACCTTCTACCTTTGCTCTTTGTAGAGTTTAAATTGCTAATTCTTGAGGTTCTGTTACTGAGCGCACCAATAGTCATCAAAAAGTGGAGTGCTGTGGCAGGCAGGTGTGAAGGACAGATCCTGTGCTAGCTCCTTGGTGGTTTGGTTGCTCTGTGAGTTGTGCCGCATGGAACGGGCACAACTTATGTTCAGGCTTGTGGCAGAAATGATGCATCCTTTTGGCAGGATCCATGGCCAGTTTTATCTGATAATTTGCTTTTCTTAAAGGCCATTATATAATTTAACACTTAGGATTTACTGGGATGATGTTTCTTTCCCTGTGTAGGAACAGGAGCAGCTTTACCTCTGCTCAGGTGTAGTCTCATCATCAACATTTGAGCAGCCAAATCGTTATGTGAAACTGTGGGTGAAGCTGGTAACACCTCTGATCAAGAATTTCTTTTGAAAGAAGAAAAGTTGCTGCTTTGGGTGAGTTTTTTGCCATTCTTACGGGGAATTTATATTGCACTGACGGCAATTAATAAGTGCAGTACTCTCTATCACGTGGAAGAAATAGATGATGGAAACATAGATGTGGGGAAAAAACAGGCATCTCTCTTTTCTTCTGGGGTACTTGCCACTGACTAGAATCATTGCTTAAGGCCTATACTGGGTTTCATCTACTAGAATTTCTGGAAGGGTCAATGAAAGAGAACCCATACAAGGGTTTTTCCCGTGCATAGGAATAAAACTTCCATTCCTGAAATGTCCCTTTCAGAGTTTTGTGGAGAGGGGCTGTGTTTATTTTATCTTGACCAGCTAATAGAAAACATTGTTGGAATATTTAAAATGTTTTGTCTTCACCTTGTAGATGTTGGTTAACAGGGACAGTTGGTTTTGCTTTTCTGCTTGGTACAGTGTCCTGGACTTGCCTGGCTGTTTGACTGCCCAGTAACTGGAACCCCTCTGAGCTTCATGGAATCGCTCTTAGATTTTTTTTTTTGTGTGCTGTGCACATAGTCCATGCAGTTGGCACCTGAGTGTGTGCCCTTGATGCTGAGTGTTCACACATCCATTTTATTTACATAAATATGGCCTCCATTTCTTGGGTTGTGTATCTGGTTCCTTCATGTTAAGATGTGTTACAAGTGTCTTTCATGAATTGCGGAGAGGGCACGAGGGGACTTTTGGTGCTAGTGTGATTTTTGGATGTTACTTGCTGAAAGTGGGAGCCTCAAACCGTAACACGCCCTGCAAAGACGTTGGTTGGGAAGCCAGATAAAGATGTGTTAGAGCGCAGGCTCGGGCTGCCCTGTGAGTTTCACTGGTGGAGTATGTGCAGTGTGTTCTGATCTTGTATTGCCAACAAAAGGGGTTTCTGGCACCTGAAAAGGCTGAAGGTAAGTGTAAAGCTTAATGGTAATTTATTCTAAATGCTTTACAAAGAAACAAGCAGCTCTACTCGCCTCCCCTTGTGGCTTTTCTTGCCACTAGCTGTGAGGGAAGTTTTATGCAGCTGTATTTTAGAACTAATTGTTCAGATATTTTACGGGGTGGGATTTTGGTGAATTATTTTATACTAAAGGGACAGGCATTGGCTTCTGTATGGTGGCCAGAGCAGATCTAATCACCCTAATAGGCATTACTGCTGATACAAATTATTTGTTGTGAAAGAAAGGGTAGACTAGATTCTATAACCTAGAAATAGAAAGAAACATACTTCAGAGATTGATCTGTTTGCAGCTGGACTTTCTTTGGGTTGTACTGGTTGACATGTTGGTGAACTGGGCCAAATCTGCACCTTTCTTCTGTCTGGTCTAAGCAGATACATGCTTCCCTGCAGGAAGGTGTTGTGCACACGGCTTGATGAATTTCTGTTCACAGTTAGCACTGAGCGATCAAACAAATAGCTGTGGAAAGACAGAGAGCTATGAGAAGGAAAGGAATCCGGATAGTTGCATGCAATTGTTCTGTTTGGTTTCCTTCGGTGGTCTGGCACTCAACCAGCACTTTATCAGAAACCACCAGTTGAAAACCAGTATCCGTCATGAGAAACTCCATGTATTGTGAGAGCAGTCTCCACATGACAGCAGTTCCAGCACTGTTTTTATTGATACTTTGCTAAAATAGTTCTGGTACAATCAAACTTAGACTAAGTTACACAACTTTGAGTGTTTTTGCAAGTAAAAGCATTTGCTGTTTTCCATAGTCATTAAAGTTTAGATCTGTAAGAGCAGAGCAACAGCGGCGAGGATCCACTTAGCAGCTTTTTCTTTTGTCTTTAGGTTAAAGGTCCAGACATAGGTGGGACCTCGCATCCGTGTCTTATAGACAGGACATTCATAGACGTTCTTGGTGTCCGTGCGGTCCACAGGGATGGCTCTGATGAAGATGACTGGCATCATGGGCGTCAACTCCTTCAGTCGAGCGTCTGCGATCACACCAGAAGGGATGTCCCATCGAGCGCCTGCAATATTACGAAATTGTCAGGGTGCCAGCTGCCCAGGGGCTTTTTCGCTTAGAGGGGGGCTGTTTTCATAACTACTAATGGGTGGGAAGGAGTTGCTCTAGCAGCACAGTCGAGGCTGGAGTGTGAAGGTTGGGTAGCCATGGCTTAACATGTCAGCCCTAACGACTACTGTCATCTCACTGTGACTCATGAATGCATTTTGCCTTACTGTGTGTGGGATATCTAAATAAATTCTGTCCCCACTCATCCCTTCAGCATGGGTTTGCATGAAAGTTGCAGAGCTGAAGGTAGAACTTGGCCGTGGTGGGAACTACGATAGCTGTCCTGTGTGGTCTGTGCTCTTGTTTAAGTGGACCCCTTTGGTGCTCTGCTGATACTGCCATCTCATTCCCCCTTGTTTTTTAGCAGTAATTATTTTAGGTTCTGAGTTTCCCGATTTGTCTTACTCACACATCAAATAAGAGCATAATATATTTATTCACTAGAACTGTGTAGCTTCAGACAACTCAGTCCTCAGGTTCATGACATGCAGTCTGAATTTCCAAAAAACAGCTTCTGGTTTGTGAAACTCTGCTTGTAAACTGGACGGGTGCTGCCCTCAGCTGGCGTGTCTCTGACATCAGCGTGGAATAAAGGCTCCGCTGCTTGGAGCTTTTGCAAAAGCTGTACAAATTCAAATAAGCCAGTGAGTACTAACACCTGCTCTGTTTGCAAGAATTTTTAAGGCTGAACCGGGCTTTCTCCGTGTCTGAAACATCTCATAAAAGATGCAATCTTTTACCTTCCATGAATAATCCATGCACATAGGAGCCTTCTCTGGGTGGAGCTGTTATATCCTCACGGTTTTTCTTGGTCACTTCCACTGAAAGACACACCTTGTCTAGTGGCCATTCGTTTTTTCTTGCCATGGACTGCATGATAGCAGTGAGGAAGGACTGGGGATTGAAGAATCCTGCCAGCCACACTGTTGCAGGCAGCACAAAGTCCGTTGTCCAGACTTCCAGTTCCTGGAAAATAAAACCAGCAAAGTACTTCAGAGTGAAGCATGGCCTTTGAGCAGCAGAATACTGCTTTGAGATATGATGTGACAGAGATCTGATGCTTCACTGTGCCTAACACGAGCTTCAGGTAATCTTCCAGATGGGGAGACTAGGATGGAGGTGGTCTGTGGTGAATAAATAGCAGATTCCACTGCAGCAATGAAAGTTAAACCGTTAATTTGGATTGCAGTAAATACTGCTATTATTTTTTTTAACAAAGCTACACTTTAAATAGATGTTTTTATTAAATATTCTTTTTTCTGAGACATATAAAGTTATGGTGGGGCTAGTGAATGTTCTTTTGAAACAGTGATATACTCTAAAGGTGAACCCTTTTCAGACTTCTGCTCTCATTCTTGGGGTAACAGGCCATTTCAGGTACTTCAAACTGCTTAAATTAATATTGAAAAATAAACCAGTTAACCACTGTACACTGATGGAGGTGATTCCTGGTCTTGTGTGGTGTCTGCTTGCTCCCTAAGCTTTAACTTTCACAAGAAATCTGCTCACCCTCATCCGAAGGAGCAGGTCTGCATACCAGGCTCCTAAGCTAAGAAGAGAGGGATAGGCATAACGTGTCCAGGATTCAGGAACGTTGTCGTAGAAGAGAGCGTTTGCCAGCTCTTCCATATCTGATGTAATCGTTAGCTCTCCCTTTTAAAAAAGAGAAAAAGTCTGGGCAGTTTTACCTGAAGAAAGCAAGACTGATGGAAGTATTTGGTCTCAAACTCATCACGAAGCAGGAGGCTGGTACCGTCTGGCCGTACCCAGCACAGTGGGATGTGTAAGAGCGCGAGCAAGGGTAGCCAAGCGCTTTGTACAAGACAAGGTTCGAAACGACCAACAGCCACTTGCAAATCATGGGGAATTATTTGGTAGGGAGAGGCGCTTTCTAGGCAGCTACCTAGTGCATACCTTTAGTCCCAAGTCTAACTCTTTCAAAGACCGCCTGATTTCATGGGTCAGGATGTTCATTCTTTCACATTCCTGGAAGGCAACTATGACATACGGGGTCTTGTCCACTGCTTTCGCTACGATCTCCACCATATTGAATGGCTCCGGCAGCCTCTCAAGAATCTCGTCTAGGACTGACTTCACCTGGAAAGAATATGCCATAGAACTGCTCTTACCTAAGGAAAAATGCTGTGGGTTAACAGTTAATTAACTTAGTAAGATTTTTCTTCTTCTGCCTTTGTGTCTTCCTGTGCTTCCTCCTCTGTTCCGAATACTCTATTCTTTTACTAACTGCTCTTGGATCTTAAAAAGCTGCAGCTCTTTTTCGATAGCCAAGAAGGTAAGCACTGAAGCCACGGAGGCTGTGAAATTCAAGTGTAAAATCCAGGGAGTCAGGAGGAAGACTTTTTTTTTTTCCTTTTTTAAAAAAAAGTATTTTCAGTAGTTGCTATCGTGAATGGAAATTACTAAGCCTGTTCCATCCGCTGAGGACGCGGCATGTGAGCCACGTTTTGCCACTGGTGCCTCTCGACCCCATCAAAGAGTAACCTTTCTGCACACTGCTGACTTTTGTAACTGCACCATGTGTTCAGATGGGGTGAACACAAAGAAACTGCTGGGGCAGCATTTCAGCCCCTTCTTTTCGCCCTTTGGGTTTCTCGGAGATGCTGGAGGAGAGCAGCTAATGGTCTTACGATCTGCGTGACCAGCTGCCTGCCTGCCTGGGATCTAGACTGATGCAAGAGCAGGGGAGAGGGGAGAGAGCTGCAGATGGGACAGGGACAAATAGGCAGCCGCGGCCAGTACTTTGGCTGCCCTGGGCTGCGGTATCAGTGCTGCCTTCTCAGCAGCTGTGGAGCGGTGAAGCGTTCGCTCGTGTTCAATTACATTACCAGTGCCAAAGACCGGTAAAGTTACTGAAATGGAAAGGAGAGGCTGGTCACAGAGAAACCAAGTGCAAATATACTTAAAAACTTGACAGGAGCGTCCAGCTGAGCGGAGACTGCAGCGTGTCTCGATAGCTCTGCGCTAGCAGTTCCCCCTTCTCCAGGCTGACAGTTTGTAGCAGTAGGTACTGGGCTAGAATCACATCTCTGTACTGTCCTGCGCTGGTAAGAAATCGGTTATTATGACAGGTCATATTCTCCTGTCCGTTGTGTGTGGGCCCATATCTGTCCTCTCCATCTGGCCTCTGAATTGTCATTGTTTACTGTAAAGAGGCAGAAACTTTACTTGCCTTTTCCTCTCGGGAGACACCTGAGCCTCCTCCAGCGTCTGATTCTTTAGGCTGCATTTCCAAAACTGTCCGAAAAAGCCTGTCCGAAGTGACGGTCAGGAAGCCAATTTCTGCGTTGGGGTGAAGGCCGTACAAGTAGGGGCTCTCCGGTGGCAGGTTGTCATCGATGTACTCGTGGTAACCCTAAGTGCAGGGCAGGCGCTGACGTTAGTTTAGCAGATACGTATAAAGGAGCCTGAGTTTTGCTTCAGCCTTGAAAATACGTCATCGCTTTTTGGTGGTGGTGCTTCACAGCTAGCTGGCATTGCTTATTCAAGATGGTTTTTTTACTCACGTCTTACCTAAGTTTTTCCCTTGCCACCCCAGCCACAGGAATTATTTTTGCAGCGATTCTGCATGTTTCCATGGGATTGAAACTTTTTTTTTTCCCCTTGGTTAGCATGAGGGAAGTCTGACTAGTGCGCGTTTATCCAGAGCAGTGGTTTTCCACAGCAAATTGCAACGCTAATCTTTCTTACCTTGTAATCCAAGCTGGGAGGGATCAAAAACCCTGGAGCTAAGTACACTTCCCCTTCCAGCATCTCCACACGGACATATTCACTCAGGTAAGTCTGACACAGCCGGCGGTCCCAGTCGTCTGTGATATGTCCCCCGTACATGATTTCACCAAAGAGGTACCGGAGATCATCCCACGGTACCTACAAGGAGAGGCTCACCGTGGGGTTTCTGTAGCCTGTGTGGCTCCCCAGAAGTCCCCTGCAGCCCGGGGAAGCTGCACACGACTGTAGAGCTGCGGGGTCACAGAGCAATGGCTCCCGGGTTGACCTGTCCAGCGTCCAGGGAAGTGACAGAGCCTGGACCCGCAGAAGCTCGGTGACAGAGTGAAGGGGAGCAAGACAGGGGACCTTGTCTTGGGTGTCTCTTGTGTTCGCCCACAGATTTCACCTTGTCCCGGTATGGACACAGCCATCCATACTTTGAACCCCTGTCATCCCGTCTTTATTCAGATCAACGTTGATCATGTCTGTAAGGCCAGGAGAAAGCAGGACTCTCCGAAGGGTGAGACCTCAATCCTGCTCGTTGCACCTTCGGTCTCGGGGCAGGCTTTGCCTTTTAGGTGGAAAGTAATTTACAAAAAACCAACCCAACAAAGCACCGAGGCCTGAGCCAGAGCAGGCACTCGTCCCAGCCCGGTGCTAAACGCCCGCTTTCCACCCAGCTCAGTCGTGCTGGACTCTGCACCTTCACCTGCCAGAGTGTGCAGGCAGCTCCCTGGGGAGGAGGGGAAGAACTACTGGCAATGCTGTGTTTCCTCGAGAGAAGGCATTTGTGCAGCAAACAGATGAATTTTTTTTTTTAAAAAAGGTTGGTTGTCATAGTGTGTATTGTGCTGAGATATGATCACTTTGTAAGTCCCTTACCTTGGGGTTAGCCTCCAAGTAGTTGTACAGGACGTTAATCGATATGGTCAGGTCACCGTTGTTGAAGGGGTAAGGTCTGTTCCAGCCCTGAGCACCAAACTTGCGCCGCTCGGCCACCACCGCGTGGAAGTAACAGAGCGCAAACAAGACGCATTTGAACTCAATTTCCTTGCTGCACATCTCTAACGTGTCCTGCAGTGGAATAAAAATGAGAGTGGGTTTGCAAGTGAATGAGTGAATATCGCGATTGGCCATCCATCTATTCAAGAAAATTAAGATGATGGCAAAGGAGAACTGAAGGATGTTTATTTAAAAAAAAAAAAACAAACCATAAAATTATCTTTTAAAGATATGCTAGTTGGTAAATTTTTGCACTCGTGTTTATAAAAAAATTAGG